GGGTTGTAATATAGAGCTGAATATGGCCCTCCTTAAAAGAGACGCTAACTACGGCGTATGTGAAAAATATAGTCCAATACTAGGGAATAAGATAAATATATTTATGGAGAATGTATTAAGGCAGATTTCTTCGAAAGCTAATTTTAGATATGGGCAAGTGACAAGGAAACAATCAACGCAATATCAATATGAATTACAGGAGTTTTATTGAAAACAGATTCAGAACTCATAATATTGATTTCAAGGAAAAGTAGTAGTAGTCCAACAAGAAATTGAATAAAATAACTATTCTTACAGAACAAAATACACGGCTAGGTCTCCATCTCGAGGTAAAATATTCAAACCAAATTGAGGTTCCTTGCACCCATATAATTGTCTATAAATATGGCTGAGGGAAATCTTAAAGTTGATAGACTTTACCGATCCTATACTTAAGCCCGTAAGTATCTTTGATAATATCAAGCATCGATCATATTATCTTAAGAGCTATACAGGCAACATGGGCAACCTCATAGGAATTAAAACCATGGTACTGCACGAGAGCTTGCAATAGTCTGAAATAGATTAAAGTTCCCATCTACGAGACAAGTGATAAAATAAGAGAATTGGTGGCAAATGAATAAGAGAGAAGACGTTATTTTAATCTGTTTCGTCACTGAAAAATAGCCCCAAATGGATTAAATATGCATGACGTTAGCAAAATCTGGAAGTCATCTATATGATGGTGGTGGGAAGCTGCAAAAATTAGGGATAAAACATAACTTAATTAAGAAGACTGGCATTGAGTATAACTGGCAAAAAGGCATGAATAAGCCATAACTATTAAATTATAATACATGATCGTATGGAAGTTAATAAATAGGGTATAGCTGCACTCAAGTAGCGTGGAGGTCAGTTGAAGCTAATTGAAAAAATAGCATACGAGTGAGACAGGATATAATAATACCTCGACTAATTAAGCTTAAAGTATTAGCATAACAATTTCGAGATCAAAATGTTGAATTTAAATTAAGAATATTTTTTATAGGCTAAGCAAATTGTAAGTGAGCGAGGAAGAGATTAAACTAAATTAGTTTAGCAGTTTTTATACATTCAGCAATTTTATATTTTTATCTAAATTATGTAATGGTAAATAATGAATAATAATTAAAAAAACACACAATAAATAGTAGTTCAAATAGTAAATATTAAGGCATTTAGAAAACGATACAAATATTAGATTCCTCAAAACCAATTTGAATAGAAATATTAAATAATTTGTCGGCATACCTTAAGAATAACTGCATCAGTGCGTAGCGAATTAGGCGCCTCGACAATTACGAATTCGGTCTGCCGAACTAAAACCTTCAGCTCAGAGATTACTGGCTTTAAAAAGGAAGCGGCCTTCATGTCAAGCTTTCTGCATTCACAGTAATTTTGTAGTTGATGCATCTCTGGCAATTCGTTTTGCGCTAGGATAAGACTATCTTGATAGCCAGGAGGATGGTCAGTTGAGTCAGACAAACCGATGGCGGTACTGTCGAAAGTCTCAGAAGGTCCACAAGTTCTGCTGCAAACAAAGCCACTGTTTGTTCCTGGAAAAACGTGCCGGGCCATTGGGGAATTGGTAGATCGAGGAAACGAGTATTTGTCCACATCATGGGATAATTTGGGCTGAGATACACTGATAAGAAAGGTAATGTTTTAAATGCAAACCATTATCAACAACCATTAGCATCTACCTATTTCCTCATTTCATTGTTGATATGTTAAACTATTTACGGATAGTATGGAAGAACACTATACGAATATAAATTTGCACATTTTGTATAGTGAACATCAAGTTAATAAAATATGCCTTTCAAAATAGAACTTATTAGGCACTGTATAT